GGGGGGGGGGGGGGGAAGACTACTTACCTATTGAGTTTTCTTCTCTTTGCTTAAGGATCTTGGAACTTTCCTTTGGATACTATGAATGACTCTATGCACCGAGTTCAGCTTGTCATCGATATGATCACGGTACTTCTCGTACAAAACGGGAATGGAGAGACTGAGAAGAATACCTGAAGGAAAGAAAGAAAAAGAAAAAAATAATCGTAAATATCAGCAAAGAGGACAACGAAAAGATATGGAAAGAAAATAAAAGGTTAGAGTATAGACAATAACAATAACTCACCATAGTAAACAAATGTGAGGAAGTTGAACAAACTTCCAACATAGGATATAACCCACAAGACAAAACCAACCTGGCCATCATACAGCCATTCTCAATAAGCACCTTGAAGCAACTCTTGTACAATATATAAGAAAGAAACACATATCCACATTCAAAACTAATAGTTTACAAAATCACAAGACGACATTGTACCTGAAAGAGTCGTACCCAATTTCTATCTATGGTGATCTCTCGGGCAATTGACAATACACCATTAATCCAAACCCGCAGACCATCAGCTGCCCTAGTGGCGATATCCTCGGAAATTTCCATGTTCGGAACAGGAGGTAGAGGCCTGAAACAAACAGTCACTAGAAAATTTGTAAGATTTGATCAAGATTCTATTCTAGACTCCATTGCCGAAAACTGACAGACGGTTCTTCGCAACTCTCCTAGTCCTAGAGAATGTGACCCAGAACAAGCCAAAACCACTTAATGTTTCTTCTTTCACCGCAAAACCATATGAATGAATAATGACGGTTAAATAAAAAGATTTAGTTGGTATTACACTAACACCAGGCAGTAGAGTAGAGACACTACAAAAAAGCTTCAAGTTCAATCAATGCCCATAACAATTGTAGTAAACATAAAGAGGAAAATAGTAAATACCGGTTGAGGATGGAAGCAGACTTAGCCCACAAGAAGAGGATAACAACAAGAAGCAACAGAACATTGGAAAGGAAAGACAAGAGATTGTATCCAGCTCTCTCGAAGAGGAACCACGAGGCACTTGAAGAGAACAACAAAATGATTGCCCCATTTCGATTTCTCCATAATAGCACATCTGCAACTGCAACAAACGCAATTCAAAGAACAGCGAGGAGAAAAGTTTCAAACTTGGCATCTAACAATTCTTGATGGGAACTAACCAAAAATTCTAACATACAAGCTTGACCCAGAAAAATCTATGGAGAATTCATAATACCCGAACGTGAAATCTGCTGTATCGTATCAAATAACATCAAATCCAACACAAACTCCCCCATCTGTTCATAATAATTGAACAACAAAACCTCTGCAACAATCGATAAATCCAAAACTACAGCAAACTGAAATAGAAATCCAACGATCCGGAACACCCGAAGAACGAAAACACGAATCGACAGCAAAATTACGAAAACACAAATCGGATCTAAATGAAATACGAAAGCAAAAGGAAATGCATAAAAATTACCAGAACCACCACCAAGAGCTTGATGAACAGAATCTCCCATGGTGAATTAATTAGGGTTTCTCTGCATATGAATTTGCGAGAGAATTTTATTCGTAGAGGAAGGAAAAATAATAGCGAGAGAAATGAAAAATTAAATAAACCAAATATAATTTGGGATTTTGCCCCAATCCGCGAGATAATGGATTTTAATGGACATTGGCCTTGGACAACATGAGTTCATGATATTTATCAATTAAAACCCTATAGTTTTCAGAGTTTACATTTCGTACCTTATATTTTATTTAAAAATATTTAGTCCAATTTTGCTATGAGATTCTAAGATATTAGATATGCAGATATGCAAGGGGCTATTTAAAAAAATAGAGTTCCTATCACAAAAAAAACAGAATTAAAAATATAGAACTTTCAAGTTTCATCATAATTTTGATAAAATTTACAATTTTTAATTATAAAAATAATGTCCGAATTTAATGATTTATATGATCCGAATTTAAGAAAACTAACTTTTTCTCATCTAGAAAAAAAAACAATTCGAATTTTTTATTTTCAATTAATACATTTGGATTTATAAATTTTTATTTTATTGATGGTAAGGCCAAAATTTATATTCGCTATTCGGTTTGGGATTCGGTTCGAAAATGAATCGATTCGATTCTTTCAGTTTAAAAAAAAAAAAATACCTTCATATTCGTTTCTGTGACAACCCAGTTTTCCAAAAAAAAAAAAAAAATCAGAACACCCGTTCTGGACAACCCAGAACGGACGGACCGCTCGCGCAGTCCGGAACGTCCGTTCCAGACCGCAGAACGGACAGACCAGACTGTCGGCAGCGACCAAAGTCGCAGATTTCGTCCGGACCGACCTGAAAACGACGTTTACCCACCTATTGACGACCAAAAACCCGATTTTTCAACACCATGGACCCCATAACTCAATTATTCGGTCTGAAATCCGAATTTTTCACTACAAATCGCCTCAGTTTCTTCATCTCCTCTCTACCCTCGCCTCTCTCTGCAAATCCGAGATTTTTCATCCTAAGTCCGAGCGATTAACGCCTCAATTCGGTCTCTACAGAACAAGGAGAGCATCACCAAGCTTCCCATCCGTCACCCAACACACGAGCTTAACCCGAGGTGAGTGAATTCGAGTTTAATTCGGAAGTCTGTTAGACATGGGGTTTTGGGTTTTGAGTGATTTTGTGCGAAATTGATGTTTGATTCGTGTTGTACATGCAATTTTATGAGTTTTAGTGTTATACCCATAGTGAATCGTGCATGTTTGAGTGTTTTGGTGAAAATCCGAGAACCAGAACGTCCGGTCTGAGGTCAGACCGTCCGTTCTAGGTCTGCTGGAGAAATACAGAAGTCCAGAGGTTGAAGACGAAGTCCGGAACGCCCGTTCTAAACCAGACCGTCCGTTCTGGTAAAACAGAACGTCCGCTCTGGACAAAACAGAACGTCCGTTCTGGACAAAACAAAACGTCTGTTCCAACCGACTGGACCGATCGGTCTAGGACTAGACCGATCGGTCTGAAAAAAAAATGAAAGCTAAGTCATACCCCGGAGTAACGGAACTGAAAATTTTCACCATGAGGAAAATTGAAAAACATAATAAGACGGGTCTAATATTACCCCGGCTAAAATTATGAAAAAGTGAAAAATATAAATTATACCGGATTTACGGGCCAGACCGGACCCCACGTAGTCTGGACCCTAAATAAAAACAAGGTAAGGGTAAAACCCACGGAATGAACTGAACTGGTTTTTCCGGGCGGACCGGGACCAGCTAAGTCATACCGGAGGTACAATTCGGTAAAACTGATGAAAAGAATGAAAGAAAATATATAAAGAAATATAAAAGACTACACGAGCGGAAATGCATGTATAGTAAATAAACTATATAAATGCATGTGATTGGGGTAGCTGGCATGGCACTAGCGTTAATTCGGAAAGGTTCGGATTAACGTTTAGCGCGTGATTGTAGAAACGGACGTTTGTGAGTGATTATACGATGATTGCGAGTTTGCGTCCCATCTATGGGCCATCCGATCCGGGTCGGTTGCCACCCATATGGGATATGATTGTGTATGTGGCGATGATACGATCGCGCCAACGTCCGAA